CATTCAGATAAATCCTCTATCAGTTCTGAGTGTTATTCTATCTGTAAATTATTGTTGTTCTAATCTTAGTTGTGCGAGGAGGTACGGTGCGTCCACCTATTCCTCCATCTTGCAGGAAGTCCCTTTGTTTGTTTTTCGTATTTGTTCATTTGTGGCTTTCAAATTTATATCCCACATATGTGTGAAATTATATGGATCTTAACTTTTTCTGTCTGACTTATTTTGCTTAGCATAATATTCTCAAGGTCCATCATTTATTTGCAAAGATATAGACACTCTTAGTTCATTTCAGCATTATTCATGGCGGCCAAGACATGGAAACAGTGGAAGTGTCCTTCGATAGATGATTGGATAAAGAAGTTGTGGTACATATATACAATTGAATACTGCTCAGCCATAACACAAGATGAAATACTTCCCATTTTAAAATTGAACTGTTTTATTTTTTTTTTTGCTATTGAGTTACATGGCTTTTTACTTTTTTGTATATTAAACCCCTATTAGACTAAGATTTGCAAATATTTTCTTCCATTCTGTGGGTTGCTGTTTCATTTTTTTGATTGCCTCTTGAGCTGTGTAGAAGCTTTTCAGTTTGACATAACCCCACTTACTGATTTTTGCTTCTGTTGCTTGTTCTTTTGATGTTATATCCAAAAAATCATTGCCAAGACCAATATCAAGAAGTTTGTTTCCCATGTTTTTTTCTAACAGTTTATGGCGTCAGTTCTCACATTCATATCTTGAATCAATTTTGAGTTCATTTTCATTAATGGTGTAAAATAGGGGTCCAATTACATTTTTTTCTGTACGTTCTTGTCTAGTTTTTCCAACATTGTTTATTGAAGAGACTATCTTTTCTTCACTCAGCAGTCTTGGCTTCCCTTTCAAATATTAATGAACAAGTGTTTATTTCTGGGTCTTTGATTCTGTTCCATTAGTCTATGTTTATTTTTATTCCAATATCATGCTGTTTTGATGACTATAGCTTTGTAGTATAAGTTTGAAATCAGGACATGTGATGCCTCTGGCTTTGTTCTTCTTTCTCAGGATTTCTTTCACTACTCCATGTAGTTTGTAGTTTCACACAAATTTTAGTATTGTTTTTTATATTTCTGTCAACAATGGCACTGGAATTGCACTGATTCTATAGGTGGCTTTGGGAAGTATGCACATTTTAACAATATCCTTCTAGTCTATGAAGAGAGGATATCTTTTAATTTGTTGGGCTCTTTCATTGAAATCTTATGGTTTCAGTGTATAGATTGTTCACCTCCTTAGTTAAATTTATTACTAAGAATTTTATTGTCTTGCATCCTAATGTAAATGAGATTGTTTTCTTTCTTTTTCAGATAGTTTGTTGTTAGTGTATAGAAACACAATTGATTTCTGCATGTTGATTTCATGTCCTACAACTCACTAAATTTGTTGATTTGTTCTAAATGTTATTGATGGAATCTTTACAAAATTAATATGTAAAATCATATCATCTGCAAAGACAATTTTACTTTTTTTCCTTTGACTTAGCTATCTTTTATTTCTTTATCTTGCCTTATTGCTCCAGTGGGGACTTCCAGTGCTATGTTGAATAAGAGTATGAGAGTGGGCACCCTTATCTTATCCCTATCTTAGAGGAAAAGCTTTCAACCTTTCACTGTTGAGTATTGTATTATCTGTGGGTTTGTTGCAAGTGACTTTTATTATGTCCGGGTATGCTCCCTCTATGCCCACTTTGTTGGGAGTTTTTATCATGAAAGCAGGATATATTTTATCAAATGACTTTTCTTCATCTATTGAAATGATCATATAATTTTAATCTTTCATTCTATTACTGTGATTCATTGCATGTATTGATTTGCATATGTTAAACCATCCTAGGATCCCAGGGATAAATCCCACTTGATCATGGTATGATTCTTTTAATGAACTATTTATTACATTTGGTTTCCTAATATTTTGTTGAGAATTTTTGCATCCATATCCATCAGAGATATTGGTCTGTAATTTTCTTATCTGGTTTTGGTATCATGGTAATGCTGGCCTTATAAAATGAATTTGGGAATGTCCCTCCTCTTCTATTTTTTTTGGTAACATTGGAAAAGATGGTCATTAATTCTTTAAATGTCAGAATTCACCAATAAAACCAACTAGCCTGGGCTTTTCTTTTTTCAGAGGTTTTTGATTACTGATTCAATCTCTTACTCATTATTAATCTGTTCAAATTTTGTATTTCTTCATGACTCTCTTGGTAAGCTGTATAATTCTAGGCATGTCTCCAGTTCTAGGTTTTCTAATTTGTTGGCATATACATGTTCATAGCAGTTTCTCATGATACTATGTATTTCTGTGGTATAAGTTGTAATGTTTCCTCTTTCATTTCTGATTTTATTTGAATCTTTTTTCTTTTGCTTTTTGTTACTCTAGCTAAATGTTCATCATTATTGTTTATCTTTTCAAAGAACCACTCTTAATTTTGTTAATATTTTCTATTTTTTTCTGGATTCTATTTAATCTATTTCTACTCTAATATTTGTTATTTCCTTCTTCCTATTAACTTCGGACTTCATTTATTCTTCTTTTTTTAGTTCCTTGAGATGTAACGTTAGATTTGAGATACCACTTTTTTTTCCTTAATGTAGGTATTTATTGCTTTATACGACCCTCTTAAAACTGCAATAGCAGTTTCCTGTGGTTTTGGTATGTTGTGTTTGCATTTTCATTTGTTTCAAGGTATTTTTTATTTCTTTCTTGATTTCTTCTTTGACCTACTGGTTGCTCAGGGGTGTGTTGTTAAATTTCCCCATATCAGTAAATTTTCCAGCTTTTGTCCTGTTACTAATTTGTAGTTTCATACTATTGTGACAGGAAAAATACTTGGTCTCATTTCAATCTTTAATTTGCTAAGACTTGTTTTGTGTCCTATCATAATGATCTTCCTAGAAAATATTTCATACATACTTGTGTGAAATGTGTATTCTGTTGGATGAAATGTCTGTTAGTCCATTCTGTCTAAAGTGTGGTTCAAGTCCAATGTCTCCTTGTGGATTTTCTGTCAGGATGATGTATCTGCTGTTAAAAGTGGGTTACTGAAGACCTCAACTATTACTGTATTCTTGTCGATCTTCCTTCAGATCTGATAGTATTTGCTTCATATATTTAGATGTTTTAATATTGGTTCCATATATATTATAGTTGCTATGTATTCTTTTAATTTTTTATTTTTTTAATATATTTTATTGATTATGCTATTACAGTTGTCCCATTACCCCCCTTCATTCTCCTCCACCCTGCACACCCTCTCCCACCCACATTCCCCCACTTTAGTTCATCCATGCGTCATAAGTTCTTTAGCTTCTACATTTCCCATAATATTTTCACCCCCCATCTGTTTTCTACCTACCATTTTGCCAGTTATTCTCTGTACCTTTCCCACCTCTCTCCACCTCCCTCTCCTGTTGCTAACCCTCCATGTGATCTCCATTTCTGTGGTTCTATTCCTGTTCTAGTTGTTTGCTTATTTTGTTTTTGTTTTTGTTTTAGGTGTGCTTGTTAATAATTGTGAGTTTGTGCTATGTATTCTTGATGAATTGACCCCATTATAATTATATAATGGCTTTCTTTCTCTCGCTACAACTTTTGGCTTAAAGTCTATTTTTAATGATATAAATATAGCTGTTCCTACTTTGTTTTGATTTCCATTAGCATAGAATATCCTATTGCATCCCTTCACTTTCATTCTATGTGTGTCCTTAAATTGAAGTGAGCTTCTTATAGGCAGCATCTAGTGGGTTCTTGCTTTTTTAAAAATCTGTCCAGCCATCTTATGCCTTTTGTTTGAAGAATTCAGCCCACTTACCTTTACAGTAATTATTGCAGTTGAGGAATTACTAATGCCATCTCTTTATGATATTTGGCTGTTTTGTTCCTTTCTTCTTTGCAACCTTGCTTTGTGAACTGGTGATTTTCTGTAGTGGTGTGCTCTGATTCCCTTCCCTTGATCTATTGTGAATCAACTATATGTTTTTGATTTCTGGTTCCCATGAGGCTTACATAGAACATAACAGTCTGCTTTACAATCATAACTTAACTTTGATTTCATACAAATACTTCTACCCTTTTACTCGCTCCCTTTTATGGTTTTTCTTTTATTTATTTATTTTTATTTTTTAAACTTCATTTTAATTATTGTTCAAGTATAATTTTCTATGTTTTACTTCAATCCCAGCCCACCCACCCAGCCTGCCCTACCTCCTACCCATTTCCACCTGCCCCCAGTTTTTGTCCATGTGTCCTTTATACTTGTTCCTATAAACCCTTCCCCTTTTCCTCTGAAATTCCCCTGAAATTCCCTCCCCTCTCCCCTCTGAACACTGACAGCCTGTTTTCTTTTTCAGTGTCTTTGGTTATATTTTGCTTGTTTCTTTGTTTTGTTGATTAGGTTTCTGTTAAAGGTGAGATCATATGGTATTTGTCTTTCACCACTTGGCTTATTTCGCTTAGCATAATGCTTTCCAGTTCCATCCATGCTGTTGCAAAGGATAGGAGCTCCTTCTCCTTTTATGTTTGTTTTAAAGATTTTATTTATTTATTTTTAGAGAGGGGGAAGGGTGGGGGAAGAGGAGGGAAAGAAACAACAATGTGTGGTTGCCTGTCATGTGGCCCCCACTGGGGACCTGGCCTGCAACCCAGGCATGTGCCCTGACTGGGAATCGAACCTGCGACCCTTTGGTTTGCAGCCCACACTGAGCTACACCAGGCAGGCCCTTTTATGTTTTAATGTGGCAATTTATTTCCTTTTATATTATGTATTTATTAACAAATTATACTAGCTATAGTTATTTTTAATACTCTTGTTCTTTAACATTTATACTAATAGATAATTTCCTTTATAGTTTCCCTCAATAAAACCATGCTCAAAGACCACAAACTGAAGAGCCTAAGGAATCAAGATAATTAAAGAGCAAAAGGAAATTGCTTCTTGTGATATAAATGATTTCACCTACCTTTGTGGAATGTAGAACATGTGCTGGGGAGGCGGTTTATAGAGGACACCTTCATACACGGGCCAGAGCCCACTAAGAATCCTGAAGAGAGAACTTTTCCCACAACCATTGGGACCAGTTATCAAAAGATGCATTCCTTCTTTTACCTAAAGTAAGAAATAAAATTAAAAACTGCAATATTTTTAAATAATTTCATTTGGCAGCATTTAAAAGTGATTTTTTAAAAACCTTTCAAACACATGATAACCTAGGATGGGAAAGGAATCAAGAAAAATAAATCAGGATTAACAGCATCCAATTTGGCTTTGACAATGCTCTGAAGCTAAAAGTATCATAAATTAATTCAATCTTAAAGAAAATTAATGTGCTTGAAATGAGCACTGGGCTTTCCAAAATTTTACTTGAGGTCTTGTAATCAGATTCTATGTACATATGTAGAAACACAACCATGTGGAAAATAGGAGACAAAATTTAAATTAAAATATATTATATTTCATTTAATTTATATTAATATTTGATTAACTTTATATTGAATTAAAATACAACTTTGTTGTATTTGTCAGTTGGAATTATTACCTAATTCCAACATAGTTCATCTAAGAGCCAGCTGGGTTGTTTAATTTTGTATTTCAGCAGTCTGAAATATTATAGAAATCATATAAGCCCATAATCAGGGAAATAAATTTATTCCAGTTCTGCTTTATTCACAAATAAAATATGTTTACTAAACCAGGAGACAGGAAATCAAGAGGATTGTCTTTTAGTCTTATGCACAGGATGCATTAAAACAAATACACAGGGTCCAGCAGAAGTAACACCAGCTTGAGTGTGGCTGGTAGGGTAATAATATGGGTGTAATAATTTATAGATTTAATTTGAACATTTCACCTAAAATTTCATATGATATGCTTGAATGTGATATTGTTATGTTACCAGAATTACATGTTTATGATTTTGTAATAAAAAAGGGTGTTATTTGTGTTGGACCCTGCATATGTATGTGTATATAGTACATATATACAGTTATAACAATAAAATAAAAGATATTTATCCACTACCAGTTGGATTCTCATCTATAGAATCTTTCACCTCATTTACCATTTAAATTTAAACAGTTGAATATCATGAATTGCCATTCTACTCAGTATGACTGGAAGTTGTCTTACTGTGGTATTTAAAGAGTATTGTGAAGAACAAGGAAAAGAAACACTGTTAAAAATTTGACCTACTAAGAACAAATATTTTATAATCAGTTAAAAATAAATATAGTATGAAAGAAAGAAATTACAGTATATCCACAGATATATCTTTATATAGCATGGATACAAATTTCTAAGTATCAGTGATATGGAATACATCATATTGCAAACTCAAAAATGAAAGAGCATTATGTTACTTGCATTATGTCAGTGTAAGGGGCCAACCAGTTCCATGTCTGTCCTTGACTCATTTGCTTGTATAACATAAGCTGAAATCTTTTTGTTGAAAGAAGGTAGTGGGAAGTGGGGCAGAAGGAGAATGGAAAGGGGAAAAAAGGGTTGGGACGGAGGTTAGGGGAACTAGGAATACATATGATAAGTATATGCAAAGCAAAAATGGTTCAGGTTCATATCCTGTCTAAATAATTAGACTTTCCTTAACAAACATTGATTGAATATCTGTCATGTGCCGGACACACTTCTAGGCACAGTGCATACAGAGTTGGTCAAGACAAAGTCCTTGTTCTCATGGAGCTTCAATCGGAAAGATGACAATAAACACATGAGTAAAAATGTAAGTAGCAATAAATGCTATTATGATAGCAATAGAGGAAAATTTTTAGGGAAAAATGGTGGCACTGTGAGGTTGGTGGGGGGCTTCTTTTGATCGAGTGGTCAGGAAAATACTCTTTTAGGAGGTAACATTTTGGCTGAGCCTGGGTGACAAGAAGCAACTAGTTCGATCTGGGGGAAGAGTGATCTCAGCAGCAAAGATAGCCACCACAGGGGCAGAAGACAGAAGCAAGCTTGAGTCTATAAAATCTGACAATAGACATTTTTTTCTGTTTAACTGTAGTCAAACTAAAATGCTATTTTGATAGATTCAAGTTCAAGGAAAGTCCTAGGAAGAGCTCAGAAAGAATTAATTTGTGATTTGCTGTGCTCTTTGACTAGAGAGAGAATTTAGGAAGTTCAATTTTATAGAAGCATAAATACTTCCCAAATGATTTTCCTAAGGCATGCACCATGGCAAAAGGTATATTCACAAAATATTTTAACAGGGTCATTCATTCTCTATTAGGAACTCCCAGAAATTTAACACACTTTGAGTCATGAGAGACTTGTCTACATTCATAGTTTTAGCATGTTTTCTGATATTTAGTAAGCAGCAAGTGTGAAGTAAAAAGAATTTCCACATTCATTGAATTTTCTTCTCTGAATGTTTTTTTTTTTAAATTCTGAAAGTCCAACAAAAGGATAAGAATCTTTTCTTCTAAAAATCTGTTTGTCAAACCATGCAGAGGAGACAGAACTTTTTATTTAATTTTAGGGAACTGAGACTTTAAACAAAATTCCTTTCTGAGTAAAAAATAAACAATTATTTAAAAAGTGTACCATAGTAACATATATCTTTGTAAAACTTCAAAATGTATAGGACACTTTCATTAGACTATTTAAAAATTATATAAAAATAAACTGAACTCTAATTTTCTTTACAGAAAGGGTATGATATATCCACAATAATGTAGTTAGTAGATGGGAGAATTCAAGACTCTTATTCTTTTTAATAAGTGGAACAATAAGAATTGATATTATGACACCTAACCTGACCCCCAAAAAAACCCTCTATACAAAAAGTCATAAGTTATACATTGTAAAACTATTAATAAATAAACATTTCATGCATGCCTCTCAAATGTTTCATTTCAAATCTACTTAAGATTAGGGTATACCTTTAGCACCTAATTGGTACTCATGTTCAAGTCCAAATAATTAAAGAATTCTATGGATAAATAAAGCCTCATCAAATTGTAGTTAAAATACAATGTCTCTTATATTGTATTACCACAGAATTTTCCCTGTTCAGTATTTCTCATCCTTTTCCAGGACTCTTATTAATTTGTAAATACATCTCTATTTAAACCTTGACCACAAGGTCTGTACTAAAATGATTAGAAGATGTATTGCCATGTTTGTAATTCTCTCATCAAGTCCAAACATGTCTTTGTTTGAACTAAAGCTCACATGCTTTCACTAGAATCACTAATGCTGATCAGCAAATTATGTGTACTTGAATTTCAAAATGTATGTTCGAATTTTGTAATGCTTTGAACCAGGGCCTCAGCTTTATTAACTGTCTTTACATTTTTGTAATCAAGATACAATATGTTAAATAACAGTTCATTCTCAACAGAGCTAAAAACTAAATTCCAATCCATGAATCTTATTTTTCCCCAGTAGAAGATATGATTATTTAAAATATAAATTAAATTTAGAGACTGTGTATTAACAGAAGTAGACTTGCTAATGACCTTTATTGTCATATTTTAGTAAACATATTATAATACAGGCTTGTAGTTTTTGAGTAATTCCTATAAGGAACAAAATTAAATTTTATTTTCAAATGTTAATTCTGAGAAAATTTCCTATTGCTTCCAAAAGTTTCCTAGTGTGGGCTCTCAGTGCACTATATTGTCGATATTTAACCTGGCAACAAAGCAGTAGAAGTCAAATTTCTCTTTTTCTCTGCTTCCTGAGGAAGCAACTGCTTCTGTGACTGAGCCACTGTGCATACCTTTCTTGATTTCCCCTCCTTTCCATATGCTCCTCCAAGTATTTAACTTAAGGTATATGAATTCTGAGTTGTTTTGTATGAGTGTGATGGCAACAATCAGAGGATTCTTGAATATCATCTTACTTTGAAGTTCAGCCTGGAAGCCACCACTTCTCCCGCTGGTGTAATTATGGGAACATTTTCACAAATAATTCCACAATCCACATCAATAACTTTTCCTGTAAGTTAAGGATCAGTTTAAGTTACAAAAACTATCATATGCCACTGCAAAATAAATATACTGTAGCAAAATAGATAAATTTATTATAAAGATAATTCACAGTAACAAATCATAGAAATAGATGCAAATATATATTTATATTTAAAGCAAATTTTAATGTTATTGGAACATTTTGACACATCTATTTGGGAAATCTCTCTTAGAAACATTTTGCAATAATCTCAAATCAAAATTAAGAGAGCAGAGCCAAGCTATCTGAGCCATACTCTTTATAACTACTTATTTTTGTAAATTAACCTTTTCTACTGAATAAACACAATGCTGTGAAAAAGGAAGACACAGAATAATACAATTTTTAAAAATATGATAAGCAAACTTAAGTTTTAAAACACAGAATGAGGAAGAACAATATGACATTAGCTCTAGTTCTGTTATTTTAATCTTAAAAGCAAACATTTCATTCTGCCATATAAGCAGTTTCCAAAAATAATTCTAGAAATTTTGTCCTAAATTAAAAAAGCGTAATATTTTATGGTAATGGTAGTCACCACTCCTCAAATTCCAACACTAACTTTAGGAATAGCTGTCTACTAAACATTGGTCCCTTTTAACAATTAAAAGCTACCATCTAAAGAGCTTTGGTTCTGTTGATAAACACTTAAATATACAAAAAATATAAAAACATTTGAATTGAAAACCTTTGATTTCCAATGTGTCACTGAGGGGTAATTCTATAGTAGCTCCACTCTTGTCCTGATTTTCAGATTCTTGTATGACAGCAGTTCTCTTATAAATGCCTCCTTTTACTTCATCAAAGACCCAAAACATATTGTATACTCTAGCAGTATAGCCTGCTAATTCAGTGACCTAAAACCAACATGAAGAAATAAAATGGAGTTAATATACCCAAGACAGACTTTTAAATAAATGTGCCATCATCTAAACCTCTTATTTAACCTCACAGGTACTATTTTATTATTCATGAGAAATAGACAATATATGTGGTAACTAAAACAAGTAACAATAAAAAGCTTGCCAAGAGAGCAACATAAGTGTTAATGTGAGTTTGACTGGAATAATAAAATACATTAAAAATTATTCGTTCAAATCAAGGTTCAAAAATGAAAGGTAAAGACTTCAGAATATGTGTATTAGTGAGACTTAAAAACCTTTCAGTCAAATTTCTAATTTGACCCTTATTTATATGAGAAATTTCATTTCCCGAAAATTAGAAGTTTTGTGAAAAGCTTAAGTTAATTCAATGAAATAATAATTATTTATTTTGGTATCTTTTTAAAATGGAAGAAACATATTTTTTCTTATTATAAAATTAGTGTTTATGAATCAAATCGGTTATCAAAATTCCTAAGTTTGTCAAGAGAAAATACCTCTTCTAGAGGATACCAACACTGGGGGTGAGCTTGGTGAAAACTTCAAATAATTTTCAGTCCAAATATCACAATTCAGCTTCTTTTCAAGTCAAGCATAATATATATGCCCAAAGAAAAACATTAAGTATAACTTTTTTTCTAGGAGAGATTATAAAATGAGATGAGATATACTATTCTTCAACAAATATTTACTGACCAAGGACAATAGTCCAGTTATTAAAATGGATATTAGGAATTTAAAAATGAGCAAGAGTTCCTGTTTTCCACCCAAGGTATGGTGCAGAAGATAGACAATTCTAAAGTGGAAATGCACCAGGTGTATTGTGAACACAAAGAAGGAATACCCAGAATCTTCAGGGAAGCCAGGAAGAAGGTGGAATCACAAGCTCATTTTATATGTGATTCTGGGAATCACATATAAAGCCTCTTGTTGAGGCCTGACTTGTCATGAAGAATGAGTAAAAGTCTGCAAGGTATATAAACAATATTACTAACTAACATTTATTAAGCATTTAATATATATTGTTTTAAATATTCTGCATGTATCAACTCATGACAATCTGATAAAGTCAATGCTATCATTACTTCCATTTAACAGGTGAGGAAACAGAAACAGAGGTTAAGGAACTTGATTAGGTTTGCATAATTTATAAATACAAGAGCAAGAATTTAAATTTAAGAACTCTAGCTCCAGAATCCACACCTAAGGACTTTTTAAATTTAAAAACAAATACATCATATACAGGCAAAAAAAGAGGAATTACAATTGATAGTATAAACTCAGAGCTAAGGATTAATAAAATACAGATTTAAAAGAAACCTGGATAAATTTATTTGTATAGAAAAAATCCAAAATCAAATGTAGAGGTCAATTAAAGAAAGGTAGAAGGCAATGGATTAGTAGACCAAGCTTCAAGGTGGAGTGGGCAAAGAGTGTCTGAAAAAAACTGAGAATTTGCAGTTCAAAAATTAAAGGGTATTAACACTTGGGTATACACTTGGAAATTGCTATCCTTTATCTTGATTATAGTCTTCACAATTTTTGATAGAGAAAAGATATGTTTCTAAAATGCTAAGTATATCTGAATATCTGATAACTTACATTTTGCTTGACACTCACAAATCTTATTTTAATCAAACTGACAACAAGAAATGCAAGTACCTCTTTGTATGAAGACATAATCCTTTCAACAGCATCGGCTCCAGAGGCCAATAAATTTCGAGCAGTGGTAAAAGCTTCTGTTCGTTCACTAACCATAGCTTGTTTTTGGCCATCCTCTAAATATAAAAACAAATACAAATCTATGTATAGATTTAGTTACTTTTTTTCAAGTAACTGTTTTTTTGGTGTATACAGATGAAATTGTGGCTATAACAGCCTTATGTAAATTTTTCAACAGTATTAGCAATCTCCTAGATATTTAATTATTAAAAATACAGTAATTTTACCAGATTTTATTTAAAGCTCCCTTTGTTTTATTATTCTTCTAGAAAAAGAGTTAGAACAATTAAATCAATAGGCATTAAGACTGATTTCATTTAGTATTCTTTCAATTCTTTCCAAATATAATTCCTGCCCTTACTGTAGCTAGGCAATAAAATACTACTTATTTTGTCAATAAAATTAAATTGACTGTAATATAAACAAATATTTCCACTGTGGTTCCTTTAATAGAAATGCAAATTAACCTCTGTCTACCTGCTTCAAAAGACTTTCACCTCACAGTACAGCAACTCCCCAAACATGCAATATTCTGTTTACCCTCTGATATCTGTACATATGTTTTCTTCTTACTTTAACATACTTACGTTCCTTTTCCACCTAGCTCTTTCTTCAAGAGTTAATTCTTTAATACAGGTTTCCATGGAAATGCTTGTTTAGATTTTTTAATAGGCTATAAGTTCCTTAAGGGTCAAGACTTTTAGTCTTTATCCTAGTACTCAGAAGAGTATCTAGCACATAATACTCATTAATGTGTATTAAATGAATTCATAGATGAACATCCCAAGTTACTGTCAATGCAAAATTATGGCTAAGAGTCAGGAGTTAGAGAGACTAGGTTTGAATCCAGGCTCTACTACTTACTGGTAAGTACTAAGGTAAGTAGAGCAAGCTACTTTATCCTTTCTATGCCTATTTTCTCATCTATAATGTGGGAAAAAATAGCTGTTCTTATTTTCTGTAGTTATTATTGTTATTATTGCACATCTACTCAATTTACTCTTATTCTTCAAAATTATTCTCTCCAGGTCATTATTTTAATCTTTCCATTAATTTGATCCTTTATCTGGTGCTTCTATAGATTATCTGTGAATTAATATAGAAATTAGAATAACACATCCATACCCACTTTAGTATCTATTTCTCTCTGATTTATCTCAATGTGAAGGGTTTTTTTTTTTCTCCAGAACAATTATTTACCTTATGCCTCAACATGACTACCAGGAACTTTCACCTTTCCTTGCTTATAGATATCTCAGCTGAGTTTGAAAGGGATCGGTGCATAAGTAAAATTTACTCAGCAGACATTTGCTGAACACCTAGTTGTGCCAGGAATTAGGTAAGGTGCTAGAGGGTATGCACAGGTAAATGTTATTTTCAGATTCTTTCTTGAGGGAGCTTACAGTTTGGTAGGAGAGAGAAGCCAAATTCCCAAATAACTAAGCTGGGAAGCCTATGATGACAGTTAATGTGAGGTGTTTGAAGGAGGTAAAAATCATTCTTGCTGCAAGAAACAGGAAATGCTTCATGGAGGAATAGACTGCGAGGGAGGCCTTGAAGACCACATACAATTTTAACACATCATAAGTATAGCATAAGTAATGGCACAGAGAAGGGAAATTTCAAGGAATGCCAACAGAATGATAAATATCTTGGTCAAAATACAGTGTAGGTTGTTGTCGGGCACCGATTTCGTTTGAGTGTGAGAATCACCATGAGTTCACTGGCATCTGTTATGGTAATCCAATATGGTCTCTCCCGTTAAACACTACTCTAGTGAACTATCATTATTTCCCATGAAGTTAGTTTCCTTGAAGAATGGAAAAAGAAAGGCTTTGAGTGCTGGTATAAATGAGAAATGAAGTATATGATTGGATAAATATACTGGGAAAAGAGTGTAGATACTCTCAAACACTTTTAAATGTCTGAAAAATTTAGATAAGTCACAAAAATAATTACCAAAGGATTCTCAGTAAGCTACCAAAATAGTAAATTGCTGTTATCAGTTAAAGCTCTTAGAATAGTATTGGCTCACAGAGAATCTGGCTGATGATTAAAGATAACTGTAAGATTTTATAAATTGTTTTAAGAGGGGTTTGAATAGGAGCTTTTACTATCAGCCTCTATTAAGAAGAGAAAACACTAGCATAGGTGGACTTGTGTTTGATGTGGCCTGGTACTTCCCACATTGCTTTGGCAGATTAGTGTTTATCAGGTTTCTTCATGCTTTTAGTAGTAAAATTACAAATGGCTCTGGACAGATTCATTTGACTTCCATTGTACTGGCTGTTCTCTGGCAGATGATGTGGACACAGTGCCAGTGGTATTGTGTCATGCATATAACAGCCAACCATATAACCCCTCCGATGGGGCCAGAGAAGTTCATGACCTAAAGCACTCATCTATTTTGTGTCATAACACATTTTATTTTCCTACTGAATATTGTAAATGTTTTGTCAAAAGTTCCCCTTAGAGGGTTTAATATTTAATACTGTATCTTCTCATTTTACCAATACTGTTCAGCTCTGCCGTTAAGTATATACAGGGTCCGGCACAAATAACACCCCCTTTTTATTACAAAATCATAAGCATATAATTCTGTAACTTAACAATATCACACTCAAGTATGCTGTGTGACATTTTAGGTGAAATGTTCAAATGAAAACTGTAAATTATTATACCCATATTTATACCCAACCAACCACACTTGGTAGGGTAAAAAAGCAGGCGCTGTTTCTGCCAGACCCTGTATTAAAACATGGCCACATCTTGTTATTTCCCTGAAAAGGCAAGAATGCACTTAAAAAACTGAAGTTGCCCTGGCTGGCATAGCTCAGTGGATTGAACGCAGGCTGTGAACCAAAGTGTCGCAGGTTCGATTCCCAGTCAGGGCACATGCCTGGGTTGCAGGCCACAGCCCCCAGCAACTGCACATTGATGTTTCTCTTTCTCTCTTTCTCCCTCCTTTCCCTCTCTAAAAAATAAATAAATAAAAATCTTAAAAAACAAAACAAAACAAAACTTAAGTTATATCATTATACATTTTTCAAAACCCATAGAACTGTACAGTACAAAGTGTGAGCCCTAATGCAAACTATGCAGACACTACTGGCTGTGCTGGTGGTCTGGCTGCTATCTTCCCTGCCTGTGAAGGTGTCTGGGATAATGGCTGGTGGGAGGGACCTACAGGTAGCTTTCTCTGACTTTGCCCAGAACTGCTTTTGATATGAAAAGAAGAAAAGTGACCTGTAATATTAAAAATTGAGGTTATAGCTGTCAGGTAACTATTTTCTTCACAAAATTTCAGTTTTTCTCTTAATACAAAGTGAACAAAGGGGTAATTTCCTCCAAAAACATATAATAGAAACTATATATATAATTAACTATTTCAATGCCTTTTCAACCATTTGGTCCCATGATTAGTTGGTCTCAAACTAAGTGAAGTCCCTTATAGAATTAGTTCTAAATAGCTAATACAAGGCAATGCAGTGAAAGGGGAAAAAAGCAATACTCCAGGAATTGCATAATGACCTAGCCTTAGTGCTTCCACCAGCCTTCTGTGTGACCTTAGACAAATCTGGGGTCCCAGACTAGATGATCTGTAAGATCCTCTTCTGATGTGAAAACAGCATAATTCCATATGAAATTCTGTAATGTGAACTTGAACATAATTGTCATCCTGTCCTTACCATAACATTTCACTTAAAGTTGTGGGTAGATGGTATAACAAGTATGCCATGGAACTAGTTTCCTTTGTTCCTTCCCACCAAAATCATGCAGGCTCCTTCTCTTATCTGCATGTTTACCCTAGACTCCCCAGTCACTTTCAAATGCCTTGTCCCTTTAATGACAATGATCATGCCAACAAACATCTATTGAGCATTTCCTATGATACAGGCATTGTTGCAAGTTTTATGTATGCAATTTTCTTTAATCTGCCTAACTATTCTGCTATAATTTCCCCCATTTTAAAAAATGAGGAAATGGAAGCACAAAAAGGTTAAACTATTTGTCCTTAGAAAACAGTCTAATAAACAAAAGAGCCAGATGCTGACTCTGGAGCGCATACAGTAAGAATACAAATAAACATTAACATTGCTTCCACCTAAGTTCTCATTACTGGCCAAGAACTGTTTCAAAGCACATGTATATAATATATATAATTTCATAACAATTCTTTAAGATATGTATTATTTTCTTTATAGTTAAGATAGGAAAACTGAGGCAAATAAAGTTTATATAACTTTCTTAATGATAAATACATTTAAATAGCAGAATCAAGATTTAAACAGTGACCTGCTTCTTTCTTTATTCTATTTTTTTCTTTCTTGCATCCTACTTTTTCTCCCTTTTCTCTTTGACATTCCTCTCTCATTCACCCATTTTTTCTATCTTAAGTATAGATAGTGTCATATACTTAATTCATCTCTACCATAACGGATAACTCCGGGCAGAAGAGTAAATTAAGGTTGAAGACTATAGACTATGTGGCATGCAATTCTAAGACCTAAAGCCTCAAAGATATATAGTCATCTAAAAATAAATAAATTATTTTGTCTGGGTAAATTGAAATTTATATGTGTTGTCACTTTAGGTCAAATGTACTTAGTAAATGCACACATATAAACATTATAAGCATTCATGTAGAAATTACAGATGATATCGAAGCACACTATCATAATAATGTCATTATAAATTCATTTTCTTCTTCTATGAAATCCTTATAATGCTTTTCTTTGTATAAAATTTTCTTTTGAAAAGAAGCTTTAAGAATCAGTTTGTACCTAGGCTTTACTCTAATCAAAGATATAAAAAGACTTGTACTCAGAAAATTATAAGACACTGAAGAAAGTAATTAAAGAAGACACAAATAAGTGGAAGCACATACTGTATTCATGGACAGAAAGAATCAACATCATTAAAATGTCCATACTATCCAAAGCAATCTATAGATTCAACGCAATTTCTATCAAGATACCAATGATATATTTCATAGAACTAGAACAAATATTTCAAAAATTTAAATAGAATCACAAAAGGTCCTGAATAGCAACAGCAATCTTGAGAAAGAAGAAAGGTGGAGGAATCAGGCTACCTAATATCAAACTATACTATAAGGCCAAAGTCATCTAAACAACATGATACTGGCATAAACACAGACATATAGATCAATGGAACAGAAAAGAGAGCTCAGAAATAAACACACTTTCAGAGTCAATTAATATTTGACAGAGGAAGCGAGCACATACAATTGGATAAAGACAGTTTATTAAATAAATGGTGTTGGGAAAACTACACAGATACAAACAGAAAAATGAAACTAGACCATGTTTTTACATCACATACATGAATACATTCAAAATGGATTAAAGACTTAAATGTTAGAGCTGAAATCATAGAAATCCTGGGAGAAAAACATAGGTGGTAAAATCTCAGACACTGCTCTTAGCAATATTTTTTCTGCTATATCTCCTCAGGTAAGGGAAATAAAAGGTAAAATAAACAAATGGGACTACATCAAACTAAAAAGGTTTCACACAGCAAAGGAAACCATCAACAAAATAAAAAGGCAACCTACTGAATAGGAGAACATATTTGCTGACACATCTGATAAGGGGTTAATATCCAAAATTTATGAAGAACTTGTAAAACTCCACATAAAAAAAAACAATCCAATAAAAAAATGGGCAAAGGACTTGAATAGACACTTCTATGAAGAGGACACACAGATGGCCAATAGACATATGAAAAAATGCTCAATGTCACTAGTCAGAGAAATACAAAATAAAACCACAATGAGATATTGCCTCACACCTGTCAGAATGGCTGTCATCATAAATCAACAAACAAGAAGGGCTGGCGAGGATATAGAGAAAGGGGGACCCTTTTGCACTGTTGGTAGGATTACAGATTTGTGCAGTCACTGTGGAAAGCAGTATGGAGATACACCCAAAAATTAAAAATGGAACTGCCTTATGATCCAACAATTCCACTTTGGGAATGTATCTGAAAAAGCCAAAATACTTATTAGAAAGAACATAAGCATCTCTACATTCATTGCAGCGTTATTTACCATCGTGAGGATCTGGAAGCAGCCCAGTGTGCATCAGTAGATGAGTGCATAAAACAACTACAGTACATATACACAATGGAATACTACTTGGATATAAAAAAAAAGAAGAGAATTTCACCTTTTGTGACAGCATGGGTGGACTTGGAGAACATCATGCTAAGTGAAATAAGCCAGTCAGAGAAAGACAACTACCATATGATTTCACTCATATGTGCAATCTAATGAACAAAAGAATTAACAAGTAAAATAGAGTCAGACTTATAGATAGAGAGCAGGCTGGAAGCTTTGTGCAGGGTGTGGGGGTGGGGGGCAGGCTTGGTGGTAGAGGTATCCAGCAAAAAGGAAAAAGGGCACATGGACAACAGTGTGCTTTTTAGGAGTAGGGGGAGGAGAAGGGTATAAGGGAGATAAATGGTAATGGAAAAATACAACAACAAAAAAAAGAATCACATCATTTCTCTTGAATCAATATTATCATGCCCATCTAAAATTCTAATGCTGTTTCTTTAATTTCATATGGTATTTTCAGGATTTGTAGGATATGTTTTTAAATATCTTATTACACCATGTACAGAGGTAAGGTTGTTAAATTCTTTGCATACATTGTTTACATCTTACTGCTTTCTGTGGGGTTAATTTGTCACCATTAATAGCTGCATTTTCTCTGTTGTATGTTTACTCTAGGGCTTTCTAATAAGACCAATGCTTCCAAGGCATTGGAACAGAACTAAGGACTAACAGAACTATATTATAATCTTGTAATTGGGGTTGCTGCTAACATAGGTTATATATGAAACTTTAAAAATATCCATAGACTTAGATTCACTATGAATACCTTATAATTTTGTCAAATTTCTTAGTAAAACTAATCTTAAACCCATAGGTTTTTATCTTTTTTCTTCAATATTCTTGAAAAACCAATTTATTTTATTATGAAAGGATTAAGTCTAAAACTACCATTACTAACAATGCCTTTTCAATATAAGCTTTTTAATAATATTTTTAAAGAACAAATTTTGAAAATGTAAAAACAGATGAAATCCAGTTTCCCAGGGGTGTAAAGTCACTGTCTATTGTTGAGTTGCACAGTATACTTGGTATATGGGTAGTACTTTTCATAAGGGATTGGCAAATACTAAATACCAAAATGAACAATTTCAGGTTAAGAATGGCTCAAATTTGGTAAGTGTCTTCACAAGAATTAGTTAATGTATTGAAGTACTGCTAAAATATACAAGCATATGGACAACAGTGTGGGGGCTGACTGTGGGAGTAGGGGGTAGGATAGTCGGAGGAGAGGAAAGGGGGAAAATTAGGACTGTAATAGAATAATAATAAAAAACAAAAATAAAAGGAAAGCTATGGTAATTTTTTACTTGTTTCTATTAGATACCTTCAAACAAATAACTATTCAACCTTAATTCTACTGCAAAAATAACTGCAAAACAGCGTGAATTGTTACATTATTTTCAGTGTTACCTTTTCTTTTCTACAAATAACCACGTATCAAGAACATGCAGAGCATGCTCTGTGCTTTATGAACATTACTCTATTAAGTAAACTCTTACAACAACCCCTGAAGTAGGCTTTCGCATTCTCATTTCATAGATGAAGAAACTGAGGTTTAGAAAGTTTAAGGAACAACTTAGACATATACAGACAGCTAGAGGGAAAGCCAGTTGAGAAAAGCTCTGTCTCACTACGAAGCCCAAGCATTTGTCTAGCTCCTTCAACACTAAAGCCAGTTCCGTCAAGTGGTTTTCAAAGAGGAGGGGAATGTTTTATTTTGCAGAAATAGCAGAAAATGCTGCTTCTTTATTTAATTCCCCTCTGTCCCTGCCAATCAAGATCCAAACTTCCATCTCAGCTAAGTATTACACAACATTTTAATGTTGTCCTTTTTGCACTTATATTTTTCACTGTTCCAAAGGATGAAAATATTGGTAAAAATCATTGAGGTGGTGATAGGATAGAATTAGAAACTTGCAACGTGAAAAGCCCTTCCCCCACAATACCACCAAACCATGCTACATAGGAGCTTATCTATACCACCTACAAGAAAGAAGAGACTTGTACCATGGCATGAAGCACTCTGTGAAACCATAGTCCTGGTTACCTAACTTTTCATAAATCAGGGTAGATCCAGTTATCAACTATTTATAGAGTAAATGCACTGGGATGTACAGAACTGAAGTTGGCAATGAGTAAAACTTGTACTATAGCTTGTTTTGAAGCAACTTTGTTTTGAGTTTAAATGTTAAACTATATAATTATTTTACATTAGGCAGGGTAATTAAAATTGCTCAAGTTCAGCTCCTAGAAACCCTGCATCAGAGATCTCTGAAATGTTTAAGAACTGGAAAGATGTTTTGAACCACTTGTTAATGTGGCTCAAATGAACAATTGGGGCCACATTAACAAAAGTGCAAATGAACTTTGTAAAAAATATATATTGCTGGCCTTATTACTGGATGTCAAAAAGTCCTCCATTGTTTCTGACTGTTAATTACTACAGAATGATGCCTACATACAGAGTTTTGTTCATATAAAACCAGCAGTGATACCTTCAAGAGAAATAATCTTAAATATGTATTTGAGATTAAGCATGAAAGCCATTACCACCATCTGCAAAGCCAGTTGCAGTGATAATCGGTACAGCCACCATAATTAGTCCACTGCCGCTCCAAACATACTTCATCAAGAACTGCTCTATCATGATGTACCACAAACGTTTTGATAAAATGAGGTTCATTTGGTCTGCTAAAGCTTTGTAACTTTTCTGTAGTTGCTTCATTTCTACCTATAAAGAGAAAAACAGTTAAGAATTAACTTAGCCTGAGGTATCAAAATAAATATTGCACGCTTGAGGACTTTCTTTAAGGATAAGTTACATATTAGTTTGTTCTACTTAGTATTATATTATCCATGATGCTAACAACCAATAAACACAGATTAACATCAGAATTTAGTCATTATTACTTAGCTTTATCACACCTATAACATTAAAACAACCATGATACTCAGTAAATATAATGTTTAGTATAGAAATATATATGATTTATAATCATGATTTTAAAATGATATGCATAAGATGTTGAAATTAAATGGTATTCTATAAGATATGAATATGTAATATTAGAGCCTTATCCTTTTTGATTATACAAAAAATATCTAAAAATAAACACATGATACATATATGTATAATTAGACTTCAGATTTGAACTAACTCAAATTTATTGGATTTTGTCTTAAATTCAAGAAACCTACAGCATGATATAACTTATATCATTATGTTCAGTGATTCAAGAAGACTGATACATCAATAGGATTTATACAACATATAAGGCCAATTTTCAAGTGGGAGTAGAAGTCCTAAATTTGCTTTCAAGTTTCTTATTCAGATTGGTACTGCTATAATTTTTTTTATAATTTATGATGCTTCAAAAATTAAATACTTCTGCTTGGTAATTAAAATACCATTTTCAACTTTAGAATACCTTAATATTTTATTTGCCGAGTCATTTGTATTAAGATTTCAGATGCATCACCTTAAAATTACTGTCATATTTAATATTATAAAGTTACTTTCATGCACTGCAATTTTAAATAATTAGGCTAACTATTTTAAGGGTCTGCTGAATGTTGAAAATCTTTAATATTTAAAATAACATTCTGGAACTCCTTTTCTCCTCCTCATTTCTAATTTTAGGTTTTCTATCAATGCTAGACAGAATTTCATTTCACTGCCTCCCTTTACTTGTGTCAAAATGTGGTGCTGAACATTAACTAAGAGTAATGGAAATCCCATTTGTGAGACACAGTCTCACTGCACTTCTTAGAACTTAGGACACCGAATCACTGACCAGACATGCAAAACTGTCAAACTTGTCTTTCAAATGAAAGCATGTTTTTTCCTCTTGAACAAACAATAACAACAACAATAACAAAATACCATCCTAAACTTTCCATCTCAATAGAAATGTGTTTACTTAGTTTCCAAACATATGTTTTCTTCTAATTTTGTAGAACTACCTACCAAGTTAGAATTTAAGTTTTAAGAAAAGGCTTTAGAGATAATTCTGAGCATGTGTGGGTAACTGGGAATAAGTAGACTTGTTTTTTTACAGCACCAAACATTTTATTCTCATGAAACTTTAGATAGGTTTGCACTCTATAATTTTTTAAACAACTTGTCATTAAACAGGGTAATGAAGCATATATTTTAATAAAGGTTTAGATGTCACAGGAATCTAAAACGCTAAAGTGGGTCTATCAATAGTACAACAGATGGTATCTAGCACTGAAGTGGCAGCTTGAAGTCTCACATTTCACCCATCACCTTAATTTCTCTTACCTTATGTCCTCTGTAAAAGGCAATTTCTTCAACATTGGCTATAATTCTGGAGTGAACATACCGTAAATAACCTTTTCTATGTGCTTCTTCAGCCACCAATTTACCAAATTTAGGAGAGCAAGCTTTCAGCACTTTAGCAGTGGCATATACCACAAGCCCTGCTATTAGAGTGGGCCCAATTGGGCTCGCACCTCTGGATCTGGCAGTCTGGATGAGCGTATAGGAGGTCAGAATTACATCTAAAATAGGTTTGGTCAGATTGGAATATAAGTGAGCCACAGATTGGGAGAACATCATAATATCTTCAGTAAGAGACTGGTCAGGGTTTGCCAGCCTCCCATCCATATTGATCACTTTATAATAAGTCAGATTTGTAAAATAGGTTTCATAGGCATGGTCTACTAGGCGAGTTCTGAAGGCCAAAGCCAATTTGCACTCCAGGTACCTTATTGCACTGTTGACAAAAGTGGCAGGGATGGCAATCATAAGCCACTTGATTAATTTGATGATGAAAGTCCGAGGTTTCTTTTCCACAATGCTTTTTACAATTTTTCCATCCAGACCAGCAACATAGATAGACAAAAATGTTCTTGAGATTAGAGCCACCGAGTGGAGGCAGAGCCACCCTGTTTCAGTGGTCACAAGTTTTGGAAAGAGGATTTTTCGAAGTTCTAGTAGCTGTTTGAAAAAATCTGCATTCACTCCAGGCGAAGGTTTTTTACAAGTAATCTCGGTGCAATGCAGAACTTCTCTGTTCTCTGCAGCTGGGTAAGCTTCTTTTCTCTTCCTGTGGCCACTTTGCTTTAAATGCTTGCTAACGATGGGATAGAGGGTTTTCAGAGCATATGCCGCAGCCACCAGGCAGGCAGCCCTTTTAGCAGCATTCGATCTGGTCCATTTCACTCGATCAGCTGCTGCATTTAGCATATGTATCATTTTCCCAGTGACCCAAACCGACTTCAAAAAAAATTGTTTAAAAGATCATCCTCCATGGGGATCTCCGGCAAATATTTCAGAAAGTCCTACAGTGTTCCATACTCTGCAGCGTTTCTCCTCTTCTGTGTTTTTGTTTTTAATTTTGTTCTGCTGTGACAGATGCAGCAGAGCTCCGACTCCACTGCATCTACTGGGGATGATTCGCTCAGAAGCTCAAGCTGCACCAAGTCTCCCCAAGCTCCACCCTCTCAGGCCCCTCATTGGCTGTGAGGGCGGTGGGACCTTGGAATCCTCACTGCTTCCCTTTGTACCTCGAAAATGTGGAGAGAGCAAAACCAATTACATCCTTAAACTGGAATTCAGAGAGTTAAATGTCTATTTTTGGAGAGGTCGAATCAAGGCAGCTCTTGGCGACAAAAACTGCTGTAGCTACTGAGCATGCTCAGCGTCACTTAGCAACCCACGGAAGTTTCAGAACATACATCACTTCTCTAAGGTTTTAGTAGATACCACAAGGGGAAGAGCAAAAAGAAAGGGAGATTTCCGAAACCTATAAAACTGACGAGGAAAAAGGAACGAGGGAATTGAGGGACAAGAGGATCACCATGAGATGAACATGAAAAGGCTGTGGAATGACTCTGAAAGGGTGAGAGAAGAAAGTGACAAGTGGAAAGGGAACTGGAGAAAATACTTGAATCTGTTTTGCTGTCTGTCCCCCACCTATTTATTTCTTTTTTTCTGTCTGTGATTTTATATGAAGCCCCAGAACCTATCAGACAAGTTGTCATTGAGGGTAGGTTTTGTTTTTGTTTTTGTTTTGTAAATAAACAGAAGTCTGTATTATAAAGTAACTCTTAAAGTAACTCTTTGCTACACCTCCATTGCTATGTTTACTTGTCCTAATAATAAAAGTACTCCAGCCCCATATCTGCTATTTTTAGCAATGGAGTTCTGATGCACTGGTATTTATTTACAAGGTGACTACTAAATAAATGAGAGCAATGTTTGACTTCTGCCACCCCCTTACGTCCCTTGTTACTTTGGAGGTATGTGACTCTATAATCAAACGTTAACCATTTGGGAATCCAACCAGAATTAGTGGAAATAACTTCTCCAGGACCTTAGTTCATTTTTCAAGAGTTCTTTCTCTTTTGAAAGCTTTTGTTTGTTTTGTTTAGGCTTAGAGATAATCTATTGGCTACTTCCCATTTATATTTTAGTTATTTTATAAATATCACGAGTATTAAAAAAATTATATTCCTAATGGAGGACTTAAACAGCTAAATAGATAAGCAAAATTCTGCATACTTAAAAAATATAAAGGTCATTTTATTTTAGATAAGGATAAGCATATTCTTGAATATGCAAAAACATTTTTTGCTTCCCCCCCTCCCCCAGCCCACAACATACATGCACACATCTAGTCAGCTAGAAGCCTGGAAAGATATGCATTAAACTAGAATAGAGGTCATCACAGATCTCTTTTTGTTTGCATTCAATTCAGCAGGTTTATGAATACATGAGTGGCTAATTCATGCAAGTCTCTTTGTTAGCTGGGCCACATTAGCAGACAATCTGTCATTCCATTAAGTCTATATGTAGAGCTCACGGTATCATAGTAGTTTATTTCAAAATCTTATGTTCCTAGTCTCATGCTTTTCATGTATTAAAATAAGTCTGTGTTATATCTATACATTTTAATTCTTTATGTTATATTTCCAGACTGTGTAAGATAGGTGGAGGGCTAGGGTAAACTTAACTAGGGGTGATGAGAGGATGTTCAGCCAGGCAGAACATGGGTCAGAAAGCAGCTGGCAGTTGAGGCAAGTGGCTTGCATCACTGGCATAAGACAGCCATAGCAGGGCAGGAACAGGGCTGTGGGAAATTTAGGGGCAAACAACATTAGACATCCAAACACGTCTCCACGTCGCTGTAGATAGATCAGTTTACCAACCGATAATAAGGACAGAAGAAAGCTTTTAATGCTTAGAGTGAAAAAACTTGTTAGAATGAACAATTAGGTATGAGGAAAATAATCAAGACAGGAATTTGGTTACCAGAATTGTGGTACAAGAAAGGCCAATTACTGGAACTGGGGAAAAAGTCAATGTGAAATTTGACTGGATGTTGAGTCACTGAAGTACAGACAGAGCTGTAACCATTTAAGTTCCACTCCCACTCTTCACCCAGAGTCAGGGTTGAACTTAGTATCTGAGACTAGGATCAAGCCTTCAGGGAAGGCAAATAAAGAATTTGAGACGACAGAAACATGATAGGTATTTCCAGTTGGAAATAAATGCCATTTAAGTAAGAAACTAAGTATGTCAAGGTACTTCTTTCAGTTTTTCTACTAACAGCATGAAATTAAAGCAAAGAAAATGTAAATTTCATTTGAATTCCAAATTATGTCAGCAAAAGGAGGTTAAAAAAATCACTTAATTTAGTAAACATAATTCAGCCTAATTTTTACTCAAGTTTCTCAACTTTACATGTGTTTATGTGGGAAAGTAGTAAAACTTTCTTAAGAGGACAGAAATAATCTTAGAAAAAGATTTTGTAAATGAGAAATAATTATCAAATTACTCTTTCTGAAGTGTGAGACTCAATGTCAGTGTCAAAGTGGACACTATCAATATCCATGCAAGAGCAGGGTTAAATAGATTTATAAGTATTAGACTACATATATTTACATATATATGTAAAATAAATTAAAGTTTAAGAATTTGGATGGATTTCCTTCTCAACACATGCTAAGTATTGGGTTGGCCAAAAAGTTCATTTGTTTTTCCTGTAGGATGCCTCTAGAATGGCATTGGAGATTTCTTGCTGGACTTTGCTCCAGTTGGGTAGATCAGTTGAAGTTGACAGTGATCAAACTGAGACATTAATTGAGAACAATCAATGTTATACCATGTGGGAGATAACCGACATACTCAAAATATCCAAATCAATAGTTATTTGTGAAAATTAAAAAAAATGTGTCTTTTATTTTACGGAAAAAAACATACGGACTTTTTGGCCAACCGAATAGTATTTCATTCGTGCTGTATTCTTTTCCCTAAAATAGCACAGGTTTGACTCATTACCTATTAGATATCCCGGCCTTTGTTTTTCAACCAAAATATCTTTTATTTTTTAATTTAAAATTTATTTTTCAATTATAGTTCACATTCAATACCATTTTGTATTAGTTTCAAGTGTGTAGCATAGCAGTCAATCATATACTTCACAAAATGTTCCCCCTGATATTTCCAGTACCCACCTGGGACCAAACATAGCTATCACAATATTATTGACTATATTCCCTGTGCTGCACTTTACATTCCCGTGACTATTTCATGACTGCCAATTTGTACTTCTTAACCTCTTCACCTTTTTCATCCAGTCCCCTAGCTATGCTAGCCTTATTTAGTGAGGCATAAACATTGAAGATGAGACCTTAGGTCAATATTTAAGCTGTTACAAATAACTACCTAAAATTGGTTTATAAGGAAGTGTATTTTCTGAGAAGGAAAAAACAGTAAATATCTTGTCTGAAGATGTGTCACATAGATTAATCTTTCCTTAGCCTCATTCACCACCTCCACTTCCTCCCTGTGACTAGAACTAAAGCTGTGACTCTAGTTAGGAAGATAGATAGTTCTGTTCAGCCCCTGGTTCTTGACTCTTTTTAACAAATTGGTGGACTTCTCCTTTATGTTCTTTCACATACAATATAGCCACACACAAAAATGTTAATCATTTAGCAAATTGTTTTCTCCTTCTAGTTAATTTAATCAGGTTGAGACTGTTTTAAATGTTGAAAACAGGAAAAGCTAATACCATGGACCATTGATCTGTCTTGACTGTATGGTTTAATTACTGAAAAATGACCAGGTATTCCATGCCTAAGACTAATTTGTTCTGAAATGCTGTATTCACCTGGCCAAAGACAAATGTACTTTATTGAATTTTTATTATAAAAATCATAATTTATATCACTAAACAAGATGTCTACCCTGGGACATAATCCTATTTTATGGTCTATTTCCCAATGATTTAACTGAAAATGTATATATTTGAAATGATAAATATTCTCCAGGTTTAAATCAAGTGAAGAATCATGACAATGAGGGGAAAAAAGTATTTTGTATTTTTTTTGTATAAAAGTATTTTGTATAAAAGTATTTGGGACAAAAGATTTCTAGTTTCTAACCAAAGCATTAGGAACAGCTTTTAAGACATTTTGTGAGAATATACAAACACCACAAAAATGAGTAGTAAAACCTAATTTTTGATTTTTATTTTTCTGTAAGGAAGGAGTTTAAAGCCTTTAGGTCTCTACGGCTAAATCAAGTTTTGATCAAGCTCTCTCAGAAACACAAAATGCACAGAACAGCAAATTACTAGAGTACAGTGTTTCTAATAAGCAGTTTACTGACTATTAAACTGCATGTGAAAGATCCTTAAAGAATTTGTGTAGAGGAGGGAAATGCAGACAACTGTAATTGAACAACAATAAAATAATTTAAAAAAGAATGTATAGAGTGATAGGTGGGAATGGAAACATCATCTTTAGGATTAGGGATCTATGACTTTGTCTTCGCCTCCTTTTTCTTTGCCAAGACTGATCTTCAATCTGAAAAAGAAGGCTGAGCCCAACAAAGAGCTAAATAAAATTATGGTGGAGGTGGTTTGAAACACCAACCCTGTGGCCACAGACTTGGTATCGCATTTAACTTAGGCAGCCTTGCCTAGGGAGTGAGTCAAAATTGACTTTCTTCTCTTTAACAGGGCAGACTGCTTCCCACAGTATCCCTTGCTGCCCTATCAAGACAGGGTCTCTACAGAAACCTTAGAGGCCTCGAGTAACCTACCTGGGTCGCAGAGGCTGTCGGGAGAACCAGGAGGAGTCTACTGGGGCCGCAGAGGCTGTTGGGAGAACGAGGAGGAGTTTACTGGGGCCACAGAGGCTGTCGGGAGGCGCAGAAAGAGCTTGTGTGAGCGCAGAGGCTGTCGGGAGGCCAGGGTAGAACTTCTGTGGCCGCAGAGGCTGTTTGGGTGGCCGGGCCAAAGGGCCGCAGAACCGCACAGAGCCAGGTTGAGCCTAGAAACTGCGGCTCGCACAGAACCGAGGCGTGCGCTCGGCAGCCGTTGGGACCTCCGAGTCTCCTCAGGTAGAAGTTTTGGGAAGATGAATTGGGTCGGTGGTTCCCGGTGAGTTATGCTGCTGGTCTTGAAACTGTGGTTCTTGACCGTGGATATTTATTCCCGTAATGATGTAACTTTCCTAGGCCCCCAGGGTAAGACAGAGCCTTAGCTGGAGAGAACTTGGTAAGACTGGGTCTTTTAATCATTATCCAAGCCCGGGAACCCTATTCCGGTGCCCCTTCATAAATGGAGAGCAACTCAGCTTCTCAATGCCTTTTTCCAGGCTTCAGATGTGGGGTCCGTTGTGGGCGAGGGTCCCTGTTCTCCCTTCCCTCCTACCATGTCCTTTCCCACTAATGAGGCCTCTGAACACCTGATCCCTCTAATGCCTTCTTCCAGTGTCAGACCCTCTCTCGGGAGAGGTTTTGTTTGAGGCATTATATAGTCTTTGCATGAATTTGGAAAGTATTCTGGAAGAGGCCATTCTCCGCTGCCCTTAAATTTACTGTTGAGGG